CCCCCCCCCCCCCCCCCCCCCCCAGCCAATGACAGAGGTTCCCAACAGCTCTCTTGAATCAGTGCAGTAAGGGAAGAAGAGTTATCTGGTGCTGACAGCTCAAAGGACTGGACCTGTGGGTGACATTCCATGCCTACTCCTGCTTCGAGGCTAGATGCCAACAGCAAGACAGAGCCTGGCTCAGCAGATGGATGTCGGGAGGATGAGGTTACACAGCAACAAAGCAGGATGCTCAGACATGGTGGCGGATGCGGGTGAGATTAGTCATATCAATGGATGGGTTAGCTTGGTATCTGATATTAACGGTGGTCTTGCTTACCTCATTGACCTGCCAGGGAAAACGCAAGCAGAAATGGGGGAGGGGAAGGAAAAAAGACAATTTTTAACAGAGAAAGCCAGTGACAGGGAAAGCTTCGGACTTCTCAGACACGACATGGCTAATGATAAACACCACACGCACAGGAGGTTTCTGGCAAGAACGTGAATCTTTCAGGGCATCAGGGGCATCTTCCTCCGTGAGGAACGGCAAGGACCAGTGCTTCTGGAAGGCCCTATAGTCCGAGTTCTTCCAGCTTCTCTGTCTAGTTGAAATGACGGCCCTCGCCTTCCAGTGCTTCTCACCCTATGTCTTTTATCAGCCATCTCTCTGCGCCTTAACTTGTTTTTGGCATGTCTGTGTCTTCTTCGCTCAGCAAGAAGGGCTTCACTGCTGCACTAGGCCCCAGTGCAGCCCTTTGGAAGATCTCAGGAGTTCCCGCTACCCTGGCATACGCGTAAGAACAAGCAGGGAACCAGCCACCCGCTTACTACTCAAACAGTGGGTATTTGTGAGAAATTCATTAGCCATATCGGGTACAGGGAACTGGCACCTCACAAATTCCCCACATCACGCGACGGATCTGAAAAGTCCAACGAGAGTATTTATTCTAATGAGAATCAAGAGTTAAAGTGCAGGGTCTTCTCTGAGAGCCACAAGCACGTATTTGCTAGAGCTGAAAAGCTAAGTTTTGTCTCAAAAGAAGGTCTTTTATTTTATTTAAAAAAATTTTTTTTTCAACGTTTTTTATTTTATTTTATTTTTTTATTTTTGGGACAGAGAGAGACAGAGCATGAACGGGGGAGGGGCAGAGAGAGAGGGAGACACAGAATCGGAAGCAGGCTCCAGGCTCCGAGCCATCAGCCCAGAGCCTGACGCGGGGCTCGAACTCACGGACCGCGAGATCATGACCTGGCTGAAGTCGGACGCTTAACCGACTGTGCCACCCAGGCGCCCCAAAAAAAGGTCTTTTAAAAAAGGGATTTCCTTTTTCCTAAAATCCTTCTTTCCTTCTGAAAACATCCTGGAGGTTTTCTTAGCCATTAAAGAATTCAGAAACAGGCCATTCTGAAATAATTAATGGGATTTTTTTTACCCATCAGGATTTCATCCACAACAAATGGCATGTCCAGCGTGTGGTTGATCAAGTTCCCATTTCCTGCTTTTCACCGTATTTCCAGTTATAGAAACAGAAGGATCTAGTACACAAGCCATCAACCTAAATCCTTGCCTCTCCCTGTGGTAAAAGGCCGGGTGGAAGAGGAGATTGCAAAGATCAGACGGAATTAAGCTTCGGGATGATCTGAGAGTGTCAATTATCCATCCTCCCCAATTCTACCGATAACCTGGAACTGTCTTAAAGCAAATAAATATGTTTTATTTTTTGAATTGGAGAAAATGGATATACACTGTCTTTCATAGAAAAGAATTCTCTCTCATCACCTTGACAATCAAGTCAGACCATAGTTACCAACAATATATTAGAAACAGCAACATACGTTAATCCTCTAAAAGGCACGGCGAAGGAGTTGACTGAAAGCCGTTAGTAACAAAAAATTTAATCATTAGGACAGGGTTGCACTGAACCGGCCTTACAGTCTTCCAGCGCAAGCGATCAATAACCGAAATCACTCAAACCTCAACTCCTCTATTGGTAGACCTCGCCACCCATCCAAGATAACACGAAATGAGGGAGAAGTATGTGGGATGAATGAAGACGTTGAAGCTACTCTGAACACACGATGCGGTCAGCACTGACAGATGGGGCCCTTTGAGCACTAGCCCCCTTCAGATCAATCTGGGGTATCCCTGTGCTGAAGACAGGGGGCAGCAAATGTCTCAGAACTCCACAGCCTCCACACAACCAAAACTGGGTGGGTAGGGGGCTCCTGGCTGGCTCAGTCTGTGGACTGTGCAACTCTTGATCTCAGGATGGTGAGTTCAAGCCCCATGGTGGGGGTAGAGCTTACTTAAAAAAAAAATGGCGGGCGTGCGAAATATTTCCAGGAGAATGGGAAAAAAACTGCTCCAGACACCACAGCACAGAAATTCAAGCAGTTCATTGGGATTATGGAAACATGGAGAAACAATGTATTGGAAACTGGGTCTATCAAACTCGCTGTTCTGAAGTACAACTCTCCAGTTTTAAAACCTTGTCCTAACTCCTAACATCTAAATTGTGACACTTTTTTTTTTAATGTTTCTTTCTTTCTTGGAGAGAGAGAGAGGGAGAAAGAAAGAGAGAGAGAGAGAGAGAGAGAGAGAGAGAGAATATCTCAAGCAGGCTCCTCACTGTCAGTGCAGAGCCTGACATGGGGCTCCAAATCACTAACTGCGAGATCATGACCTGAGCCAAAACCAAGAGTGGATGCTTAACGGACTGAGTCACCAGGGCGCCCCTACACCATGACACTTTTACTTACAGGACGCGGTCAAAAATTGTTTAGAGAAAAGTTGGTTTAACGCTGTCACAGCAGTCAATTGTGTCAGTAAGCAGATAAGGATTATCAATGATGACGGGATAACTGGTAACATACACCCTCCACCCCAGAATAGCTAAGAAGAAACCACTGCAGAGTACCCTTGCTCTAGTGCCTGGAACTCTGTGGCTATAGCATGGGATGATGACGACATAACATGTATATGAAATGGAAGATGAGTATGCCACGTAAAGTCTCATGAAACAGAAAAACTACAAGGTGGTGGTGGTTTCGTAAGTCCTGGTGTTTGGCTGAGCACAGCACTGAATTTGGTAGAAACCTATCCATAGGCTTCTTTGGACCCGCTCTCAAAGGCCTATGCTCTGAAGTTAAGAGCGAGCCTGGGCTCTTTCTGGCGGGGGGGGGGGGGGGGGGGGGCACTGGTCTGCTAGGACCCACGGAAGTCTTGGGATGCACACTCACCCAATTCTTCCTCTTCTTCTTCTTCGAGTCACTCTCTATGTTGCTGCCCACACTGGAGTGGCTGGTGGCACTGTTGATGCTGGAGACGCTGTCAGAGGAGTGCTGTCTGCGGATGCGGAGGTCTGCAGACTGGGAGGTACCATTTCCTGGAGACCCAAGGCAGGAGATCAGCAGCTGCTGCCTGGAGCCCAGTCCTTTGTCCCAGGGAATGGCTTTTATACCTGAATCCACACACACCCGAGTATTTCCCATTAGACACCACCTTCTGCTCTCAGCAGCTGGTTTGAAGATCCGTGAGCAGGTGGAAGTTACGCCCCCTTTAGTCAATTCAATGAGGGCCCATTCTATCCGCTTCATCAAACAGAAGTCAGGGAGGCTTCAAGACAATCCCCCCCTAACACCAGCTCTCTCAAGCTTGAGACAGGCACCCAATCCTATTTCTGAACCGTGACAAGTCACCTGTATCGTCAGGCCACCCCGAGCCCCATTCTGCTCTGTACGCTCCTGCTTCACGAGCCTTCTTTTGGCTCCTTGGAGATGCTGAGCCCATCTCATCTCGGGGCCCTAACGTGTGCTATTCCCTCTTCCTGGAATGCCCTTTGCGCTTCCTCGGGCTGGCCGGCTCTTGCCAATCCCTCCCATTTCGATCCTGTCATTACTCTTCAGGAGGCCTGACAGCTGAAATAACGGTGACGCCAGAAATCACACTGTCTGAAAGAGCAGTGACACCGAAATAAAATTTGCAGCCAGTTTTCTGCACGAGCACAGAACGAAATCTAAGAGCACTGGTGTCAGAGTCAGAGAGACCTGGGTTCCAGTCCCACTTCTGCATCTCATACTCTGGAAGTGACTCAAGCAGCCCGATGCAGAGAGGACCAGCACTGCGCTCATAAGGTTGTTGCGGAAGCGAACGAGATAACTAATAATTGAAAACACTGAGCGGAGGGGCTTAGAACACAGCGCGTGTTCCATAAATGCTAGCTATCACCGTCACTTCTACCATGACCACTAAGGCCACTGTTGTGGGAGGTAGAGGGTAACTCCGCCTCACAACTCCATTTCTCCCCGCAAGTAAGACACACACGGATGAAGCAATTCGCTCGGGAAGATTTTCCTGGGCAAACAAGAGATGCCAACTTCAGGGTAGCCCGAGTCGATATGGAAATACCAGAGCACGACTGAGGTTAAGGGCTTCAGGCATAAAGACACAGGTGAAGCGAAACACTTCGCCACTTTGCCGATGAAACATATTTTCTTCCATTTTTGAGACACAGCAGGGAAGTGGCTGAGCCGGAAGAGCTACCTTCCCGGAGGCCTGGAGTTACTGGATTCAAAGTGTTTGCCTCCCAGGACCTGAGTGACTGACGTGGACACACACCCTGGGGCAGGGAGACTGCAGCGTGTGTTGTCAGGGGAGGACTCCTAAGGGCAGGCAGGTTGTTGGCCTAGAAGGCTGCTCTCCTTCCTTTACCTTTGCAGTTGAGCTCTGGTGTGTTAATTACTCCATTAATGGCAGCCTGAGCAGCTGCGTTCTGTTTCTTTAGCAGCTCGATGGTTTTTCTTAACTCATTCAGCTCTGAATCCTGGGGAACAGAAAAAAATACCGGTCACCCTACCATCATTCTGGACCGAGCTCAAAAGAAGTGCGACTCGGTTTCAGCACAGGCAGGGAGGGAACGAAGGAGTTCCACAAAACCTCTGTCCCATGTATTTAGGTTGCATCAATCTTCAACGGGCACATAAGCACACAGAAGCCGTAGAAATAGGACTGTGAGATGGGTCACGGGTGCTGGGGCCGCCCCTTCGTTTAGGTCACTTTTGCACTCAACAGACCTACTCTTCACGATTCAATTCCCATAGTTCAAGTGCACTAAAATCTCTACTACTCTCTGGAACCAAAGAGAGTATTATTCTTAGGTTTGCTGTTCATCCCAAGCAGGGAGGAGGGAAGCACCCTTTCTTCCTTTACCTTTTGCTCAGCCGTCATGGTCAAACTCTGGAGCCTGATTGTCATGTTTCCGAGACTCTGTTCAAAGGCTGCCACCAGGTGAGCCTGGAGGAGAAAAGACACCACCTCAGTCAGATCACCCTGCAAGGCAAGAGAGCCTATTGGGTGCTGGGTCTTAAGGACTGCAATCCTCACCGGGGCCATGTGAGTTAGCCCCCGCCTAATTCTTCAGCCCTTGGAGCCCCAGTCTCCATCTCTCTTTGGGATTCAGTCACTCCAGCTTTTCACATCCTCAAAAATCTCATGCTGCTTCCCACCTCAGGGCCTTCATATGTGCTTTCCCTGCTGTCTCCCTAATTTTTACACAACCTTCTCAAGAGATGGAAGCTCACGCCTTCATGACGGCTCTCTCACGTTCACCCTCAAAAGCACGTGGACTGCCGACCTATGTGCATTATGGTGTCACCGTCAGAGACACATGCACTCCTGTGACTGCTGCTTCATTTCTAGCTCCTCTGCTCTATGGCACTTTTGTTCACTAAATGCCAAGCTCACAGGAGAGGCTCATATCAAGCATGTTTGTACACATGGAGGAACAAAGGGGCGCCTGGGTGGCTCAGTCGGTTAAGCGTCCGACTTCGGCTCAGGTCATGATCTCACGGTCCGTGAGGTAGAGCCCCGCGTTGGGCTCTGTGCTGACGGCTCAGAGCCTGGAGCCTGTTTCGGATTCTGTGTCTCCCTCTCTCTCTGACCCTCCCCCATTCATGCTCTGTCTCTCTCTGTCTCAAAAATAAATAAAACGTTAAAAAAAAAAATTAAAAAAAAAAAAAACAAATGGATGAACAAAGCGGTTGGCATTATTTTGCTTGTTATAACCCTGGTTAATAAAAAGTCACCGAAAGGCCCATCTGCTACCTCCTTGGAGAAACCTTCCCCTGTTCCTCCAGGGAGTTAGGACTTTCCCCCAAGGCCCCTCTCTACTTTTATACGCTTCTGTTAGAACACGACATCAGACACACCACTATTCTCTATAGTGCTAGGACGTCTTGAAAAATATGTATCCCACTTTCAGACATGTTAAAAATGTTGGGGAAAAAAACATGTATCTTAGAATTGAGACATGCGATGTTTTTCTGTCTGCCCCTTTCTCTGCAACCTTCTTCAAGGGTAAGTCGCAAGCTTGTGTCCTAACATGAAGCCTCTTCCTTCCTCTGTACAGCAGCAGGTGAAATATCGGTTGGTTGACTGAGGATCCTGATGATATGGTTAAAACCGAGAATAAAGAATGGACAAGTGAGCTGAGCCTACTGACTGCTGTTTCTCCATCTATAAAATGGGGGCGATGTCTGTTTTCCTCCCAGGGTTATCGTGAGCCTTAAGTGAAACAACATAGGCGAAAATGGTCTGTACTGTTATGGAACTGCAAAACACGGGAATGAATGGACACTTTGGGGGGAAGGAAGAGGTTTGGGGCTGGGAAAACAATAAGAAATAGGATGAGAACACAGGTGGGGAGAGATAAGAAAGGGCTCTAGGAGAGAGGTGGGAAGATACAGGAGGCAGAGGAAGTGGGAGTCTGGGGAGGAGGGAGAAGTAAGATCTGACTACATATGTAACATTCTAGAGGAACATAGAACCGAGGCACTCAGTGAAGAATAAAAGTGAGGTAACAGCCAGGGGAGGGGTGGGACACTGTCCTGGATTGTGGAGGGGGTCAGCAGACATGTCACTGGAAAGAGGAGAGATGGGAGAAGTCAGAGCTCTTGGTCACTAGACTTCATCAAGCAGGGACAGGTGAGGAGAAGACATATCCAGCATAAACTGTTGGGTCTTTTCTCTAACAGCTGTAGGAGTTATCAGGGAGCAGGACCGCTTATAATAAAAATATTAAGTGGATTAGTCAGTTTCTGACTGCATTGCCCTCTCATCATTAAAAATTGAGAAAACATTGGGGCGCCTGGGTGGCGCAGTCGGTTGAGCGTCCGACTTCAGCCAGGTCACGATCTCGCGGTCCGTGAGTTCGAGCCCCGCGTCGGGCTCTGGGCTGATGGCTCGGAGCCTGGAGCCTGTTTCCGATTCTGTGTCTCCCTCTCTCTCTGCCCCTCCCCCGTTCATGCTCTGTCTCTCTCTGTCCCCCCAAAAAAATAAATAAACGTTGAAAAAAAAAAAATTGAGAAAACATCGATGCAGTTTGAAATCAAGAGATACGCTTCAGCTGGCGGGGAGAATATGGCAAAGCCAATCAATTTAAAACAGTTTACACAGTGGATGAAGGAAACAGGGCCAGGGCAAAGACGGTGAAAAGAAATGACTGTTAACCTTGCCATTTCAAAAGAACGCCAAGGTTAAATTTAAAGGACTGAATTTCCATTTATCTTAATTCTTTGATTGCCACCCAGGCCTCTACTTGTAGGCACTCGCACTTTCCGTTCAGTTAAAGACAAAAACCTAACCCAAGAAGACTAGCTATTGAGAAGTGTTTTTGCAAACTCAAGAAGAAGCCGTGTTTGCTCTGAAGAGCTAGAGGTTTGCATTTTGCTGTCGAGAGAAAGGACCGACTTTAGGTCACGAGCAACTGTGAAAACACAGGCCGAGAGGCCGTCCCGAGCCTGGTTCAAAGCCACACAACAGCCTTCTGACCAAGTGCCATTCTCACATTCCCAGGAAAACAAACACGAGTGGTATAAAAACACCCAGAGAAGGTGGCTTTGGGTAGTTTGGCCTAGAAAAACAAATACAGCTTGGCCTGTGAGAAAGACGGCAGACAATAAAACACGTTAGGGCTGCCGGTGGTGTGTGGTAAGACTAAATATTTACTTTGAAACAATACTGGATTTCAATGGCTTTTGTGAGGAGCAAAACACACTTTTGGAATAATAACGATGATGTAAGAGACCTCACCCTGAGTCTTCTGGAGCAGAGGGTAGAGTTCCAAATGGCCCAGTGTAAGGCCCTTTGGGCAGCACAAGGCCACTGGAGGAATTAACCCGAGTTTTCTGATAAGTCAATTCATCTATTTTTTGATATGTAGGGGGCACCAATTGAGAGCAGTAATCCTTAACCAGGGGAGTAGCTCCAAAAATCACCTGAGATGGGGCTTGCTATTAAATCTCACATTCGGATTATATCCAGATTGCCTCAGTGAGTTTGGGATTTGGTTTTGGATTCGAATGGTACCCACATGAAGACTAACCCACGGAACATCTCTGGGTTGTTTTTTTCTTTTAAATAAGTTCTAAGCTTCAAAATTCAGATCTCAATCTTTGATGTTCTTTTGATAGCGTTACTGACGGTGGAAGCAGAAAAGAAAACAAAGGAGGATAACGAAACACACAGCGGCCTGGTACATGAGGGTTTAAAAAAATTCAAACGCTCCCAGAAATGTGAGAGAACTCAGGAGAATGAACAATGGTGACAGAAGTTACCAGTTCCTGAGCTTTTAATTAAGGTCAAGTACCACATGAAGCATTTCATGCGCAGATTTTAAGAGAAATAGTTTCCTTCAGTGGACTCAGGCTCAAGCCAGGCATTACCTGGGCAAAAACTCCAGGCAAATGATTGCTTGGAGTACCGACTCAGCTTCCTGGTCCAAGGAAGACAACCTTTTGAAGTTGCTTTTCATCTTACCAGCATACTATGGGGTTGTGCAGGCTGCTTTGGGACAGGCTCCCACACATGTATCTGTGGTCTCAGATTGGCCCACGCGCTCCCGCAGGAAGCCTTGCTTCAGGAACATCTCAGTGCCTCCTAAAACTGCAGGCTCTGCCTGCTAAACTTCAGCCCTCCCTGGCTCATAGCTCTTCAGCAGGGCTCCTTTGCAGACCAGAGGTCTCTGCCTACACTCGGACCCCTTAATTCCATAACCATGCCATAGTCAGGAAGCTTCATGAGGAGGAAATCGAACCACCACACTGCTCTGCTTCAAACACACAGATTCAGTAGGAAACCCAAACTCTCCCCCTAACAGCCGGGAGACAGTGTGATGTGACCTGCCCCTTGCTTTTCTTTGCTGCCTCTTCCTGACTTCCTTCTCCCCTCCACCCGCGCCACTGCCCCATATCCAAGCCATAGATTCTAATTACAATGAGCTTACTTATACTTTCTAAACGCACCAAGACTTCCCCTTGGGCGTCTGCACAGATACATGTATGTGTACACTGGGTAGAACGCTGCCCTCCCCATGCATCCTCCCCTATACAGCATCCCTCAGGTCACCTCCTCCAAGAAGCCCTTCCTGACCTCCCCCCCCCCACCACCAGACTGAGTTCTGCACGCCTCCTACATGTTCCCACAACCTTCTGCCTCTCTCTCTGAACAGTTAGCCTATTATAGAAAAGTGTTTTGTCTCTCTGCCGTACCAAAGTACACGAAGATGACAGTGATGGTGTCTGCTCTGCTGTTGAACCCACAGTGCCCGGGGCATAGTTGGCACATAAACAGTTGTTGAATTGAATGCTGGTTGGCAGCCCTTCCTGAACACGTAATTGTGCATATTGTAATTACAGAACAGTCAGCTATTTATCTGGAGCCTTCGCTTTTTTTTTTTTCTCCTGAAGATGAACATTTTCAGAAAGAGGAAGAAAAGGGAAATGAACTTTTCTGACCACTTAATGGATTCCAGAACTGATCACCTGACGACCCAGAGAGCTAAGTATCACCATCCGCCACTGCACAGAGGGGCACGTGCAGGCTCAGAGGTGAAAGAAGCTGCCCGAAGCACAGAGCCAGAAAGTGCCGGAGCGGACGTTTACACTCACGATGCTCAAAGCTCCTGCCCTTCACACTGTACTGCTTCCATGGTGCTCGGGGGCAGGCGGCCGTGAGGAAATGTTGGAACGGGGCAGTGGCTGCCCCCCCTCCCGTGGCTAGCACCCTGCATCTGTACTCACATTTGCTGTCAGCTGGGTGGTCAAAGCTGAAACCTTTTCCTGTGAGGCATCCAGCTCCCGCCGCAGCTTGCGAATCTAAAGACGGCAAGGGACAGAGTTACTTGCTCAAAGCGTCCATTCCCAGCTGGAGCTGGGTGAAGTAACAGATAATAGTGACAGAGGAAATCCAGCCGGCAAACTGTTCCTTACCTCTGACTGGCACTTTTCTTCTGGCTGTAAAGAAATCATAAGGGAAATTAGACCAGTTGAGGAACAAAGAACAGCACAATGCAGCCCGTGGGGAAGAGCACATTTGGATGCTTACAGAAGTCCCGAAGTTATGAGTTTTGTTCCTGGTGTTATTTTTCTGGATAAACTGGTTCAGTTAATTTGACCAATCAGAACGGCCAAATACAAACGGCATATTATTTTAAGAAATTAGGAAGACTTTTGGTTGTGATTTTGGTTGTGAGGAGCCCCTCTGCTCCCGTGTGGAGATAATAAGTTTGGGTGCTCAGGAGAAGGTGTGATGCGAAGGGGATGGGCCAGGGTAGGGATGCCAGATTTAGCAAATAAAAATAAGTATATCCCATGCTACACTGGGGACAATTTATATTAAAAGGTTATTTGTTTTTTTTTTTTTTTAATGTTTATTTTTGAGAGAG